ACTTGATTGCTCAGTTTTGGCTGCCATGTTAACTTTTTGTGTCCCTATGGATCCTCCTGAGCATCTTGTTGCAAATGGCACCCAGAAACGCCCCTAAAACAGTTTGGGGGTCTCCCCATGTGAAGGAAACCTGAGTTACCAGCTTTGGCTTACACCAAGATAGCAATAGCATTTAGACTTATATACTGCTTCACGGTACTTTACAGCAGTCTCTGAGCAGTGTACACAGTCAGCCTATTGCTCCCCAAAATCTGGGTCCTCATTTTACCAACCTCGAAAGGATGGAAGGCTGACTCAACCTCGAGCCCCGTCAGGATCGAACTCCTGACAGTGAGCAGAGTTTGCCTGCAATTCTGAATTCTAACCACTGGGTCACTTTGAACTCGGCCCAAGGCATGCCCTGTGACCCCTCTGCTCTGCTGGCTTCCCACTTGTGCTTCAGGTAGTCCTCAACTTAGGACCACCATTAGGACTTGCATTACTAAGCAAGGCAGTCAGTAAGTGAGTCGCACACAATTTAACAACCTTTTTCGCCACGGTTGTCAAAGTAAGTCACCGAAGTTATTAAGCGAACCCGGATTTCCCAATTGATTTTGCTTGTCAGAGGTTCTCGCAAACAGAAACCACGTGAGCCTGGGATGCCGCCAGCCATCATAAATACCTGCGTGTTGCCAAGTGCCCAAATTCTGATCAGGTGACCGTGGGGATGCTGAGGGGGTCCTAAGCGCGGGGGCTGTTCGTAAATAACCTTTTTTTTTTTCCAGTGCCATGATTACTTCAAGGACTCTAATCGAACGGTTGATAAGCCGAGGGTTGCCTTCCGTTTATATAACGTCTCAGGGCAGAAGCTTTAGGTCTGTTTTCTGAGTATTGAGTTGTCCCTAATGGGATTTTGCAAAGTGCTGGAGCGGATATGTGGGGGAGTGGGTGGGGCACAGACGCAGTCTGAAGAGCTTTCGAGCCACGGTGAGTGGGACGATGGTGCATTTCACCCAAAGGTTACCCAGATGCCTGCCATCCTCTCCAGACTGTGTGCTTAGTTTAAAGTCCTTTGCCATCGTAATGCGTCTCGCTGTAATAAGTGGCTGATGCACAGAGGAAGGAGGCCAGAGCGAAAGTCCACCACTCACCACTCGCATCTCCATAGAAACTGACCGAGTTAAGCATTAAAATGGAGCTGTAAAAGAATTGCTAATATAAGGCCAGTGGAAACATTTTATCTTCCCTGTTAATGTACAAAATACTTCACCGCCGGTCTCATTTGTCTCGGCAAAAGTCAAGCTGGGTTCAGTGCCTTTTCCAGCAAGGGACCACCCTGCCACACGCCCCCTCCTCTCCCCACCCCCTCCTCCCCACCCCGGAGAATAGCTACAGCTAAACACATCTTTTGCGAGTGAGGCCAAGTTCCAGGCTAGGTCTGCTGGACATGGAGGAGATGCTGAGGAGCCTGATGATAGCTACCGGTAGTCCTCGAATTATGACCGCAGTTGAGCCCAAAATTTATGTCGTTACGTGAGATATCTGTTAAGTGAATTTTGCCTCGTTTTACAATCTTTCTTCCCGCAGTTGTTAAGTGAATCATTGCAATTGTTATATTAGTAACGGTTGTTAAGTGAATCGGACTTCACTTCGCTTGTCGGAAAGCTGCAAAAGGGGATCGCATGACCCTGGGACACTGCAGCCATCATAAATATGAGTCAGATGCCAAGCCTCTGAATTTTGATCATGTGACCGTGGGGATGCCACAATGGTCATAAGTGTAAAAACGGTCTGAAGTCACATTTTTCAGTACCTTTGTAACTTTGGTCACTAAATGAACTGTTGTAAGTCGAGGACTACCTGTATTTGTATGAAACTCCCTTTCCGGTGACAAAAAGTTCTCTCATTGTCTAGCTGCAGGTCTAGTTTTCTGAATTGGGGGAGCATTCATTTATACATTATATGTAGTCCTTGATTTACGACCACAGTTGGGACCAAAACTTCAAAGCCATTGTTAAGTGAGTGGCACCCAATTTTACAACCCTTTTTGCCCTGGTTATTAAGCAAATCAGTGGTTAAGTGAATCAGGTAGTCATTAAGCGAATCTGCCTTCCCTCATTGACTTTACTTGTTGGGAGCCAGCTGGGAAGGTCATAAATGGTGGTCCCATGATCCTGGGACCCTGTAACCATAGCACATACATGCTGGTTGCCAAATGCCCACATTTTGGTCACATAATCATTGGGAATGCTACAATGGTGGTTTAATAGAAGAGCTGGTTTAAGTTACTTCTTTCAGTGCTTCAAATGAACATTAAACAAATGCTTGTAAATCAAGGTCTACCTGTATGAGACTTATGCCCCACGTTTAAAAACCCGTGTGTCCACCACACTTAATCCAGCAGCTCCAACATTGCATCACACTGCCCCAAAAGTGGTTTTCAAAAGACAACTGGACTTTCTTGAAAACATTTTGCTTCTCATCTAAAATACTTCTGAGGAGAGAAAGAACCCAGAAAGTCCAGCTGCCTTTTGGAAAATCACCTCTGGGACAACCATGGCCTGGATGATTGAGAATCTCGGTAGACACTGCAATACGCTTCTATTTACGTTATTTCTGTATTGCCAAGTCTCCAAAGACTCCTGGCAATTTATGGAGCTTGACTATAAATCCCGTACAATAGGGTGGTGGTGGGGGAATTAACCATAGAAACATTCAAATCTTCTTCACCCTCGACACAGACCTCATTCAATCGCGTCCTTCTTCTTCCTTCTTTAAAGCCACACAAAATAATCCAGCTTTCCACAGGGTTACTATGGTAAGCATCATTCAGATTTCTGGAGAGAAGGTATAGATATAGAGTAAAAATATCATGAAAATATCTTTGGCCACCATCGTGAACAGACATTCACTGCCTATCACCTCTGCAGCAGACACCCCCCACCCCAACCACTGCAAAACCAGCCTCATCCCACTTCTTCTATCCTGAGTGGTGCAAGACCCAAAATCTAGTTGTTCTGCAGACAGTTCTCAATAATATCCACCAGATCTACACACACATTGAAGTCATGAACAATAATGATCTTTTTGCACAAACCCAGCAATTGCCCTACAGATCTGGTGTTGATTAACCAAGATAAAGCCAACTACTGACTTTCAGTTGGCTTCTGTTTTTCAGTTGGCTTCTGTAGCTTTGCCCGTGCTACTAACTCCAGACTTTCTGATAGAAGACTAGATCAGAGGATCTTAGAAAGGATGGAAGATTTTTCGTGGGAGATTCAGACTTGAAATAAGGGCAAATATCTTAACTCTTGAGTACTACTAAACATTTTTTTTTTAAAAAAATTGATTTATATGCCGTCCTTCTCCGGAGACTCAGGGTGGCTTACAATGCACTCAGCAATAGCCTTCATCCTTTTGTATATTTATACAAAGTCAGTTTATTGCCCCCACAACTGGGTCCTCAATTTACCTACCTTAGAAAGGATGGAAGGCTGAGTCAACCTTGAGCCTTGGCGAGATTCGAACCTGCAGTAATTGCAGGCAGCTGGTCTTAATAACCAGCTTAATAACAGGGTGCCTTAGACCACTGTACTACCAAGGCTCTATTGAATAGCCTGCTTCCTGAAGTTTTGGGTGTCTCATTATTGGAAGTTTTCAAGAAAAAATTGAGGAATCCTGGATGATTGTCCTGGATAACATGAAGATCCCTCTGCAGAGACCTGGACCAGAAGACCTCCTTCTAACATAATAATCCCATGATTTTAAACTCAGAGGTTTCCAAACTTGGCAACTTTAAGACTGTGGACTTCAACTCCCAGAATTCCTCAGCCAGCGATGCTGGTTGAGGAATTCTGGGTGTTGAAGTCCACCAGACTTAAAGTTGTGAAGTTTGGAGATCCCTCTTCTAAATTATGGCAATCTAACATATAATGTACATTGAACTGCATAATGACATCTTCTCCCAAATGTTAAGACTTTTACAAGGAAAAGGCAGAGGAAAAAGAATATATTTTTTCTTTTATCTAGTACGTGGAGTGGAAGGGATGATTGATGTATTAAATGTTTGTTTGTGTATAAAATAAAAAAAAATTACGAAAAAAAAAATAGTTTTCTCAGGCCAGAACTCAAGTTTTATCTTCAGTTATGATGGATGGATTGTGGAGAGAACTTGTATTTCCAAGTGGCCAACTGTATATGGACAAAAATGCTTTTTCCTCTCTTTTCCAAAACTGAATCTTTTGTCTAGTTAAATTAGAGGTTAGTAGATCATTTTATTTTAGAACCTTTTTTTTGCCCTATCTTGATATGTCTACTAGCTCTTCCGTTTGACAAATGAAATACTTTCTTTTTTAAGTAGTTCCATCTGTCAAATTTAGGATAATTACTGCAGAGCAACCAATAACAGTCTTAGGGAGTAAATTCTCAGCTGTTGTGCTCTCTGTAATTTCATCTTTGGACTTTGTATTATCACATGAAAGGATGAGTTTGGTAGGACAATCCCTGTTTTGTGTATACAGGACATTTCACAAGAAGTGTAGCTTCTTGTTGAAGGGGTCTTAACCTCAAAATTTTATAAACAGTATCAGCAATAGCAATAGCAACAGCACTTAGTCTTATATACAGCTTCATAGTTCTTTACAGCCCTCTCTAAGCGGTTTACAGAGTCAGCATATTGCCCCCAACAATCTGGGCCCTAATTTAACTGATGTCGGAAGGATGGAAGACTGAGTCAACCTTGAGCCCCTGCCTACTAGATGCTGCTCCCAGGTTGAGATTGGGAAAAGTAAACATGGGCCTGTCTTTGTTTGCCTGATGGCACTTACGAAGTTCTCCAGATGTTCCAGTTCAATAGTCTTTTATATCCTTTTTTATAACTGACATTCTTCCTTTCCTTCAATAGGCCACTTTTTCAAATGAGGAATATTATACGGTGATCATGAAATAATCTATAAGAACAATATCTTACACAAATTCATTAGTGGCCATTGTTAACCCATAGTATTTCCTTTCTCTTTTAGATCTATCAACCTTTACTTAAAAGATACACGGAACTTGAGCAGAAGGTGCTGAATAAATCAAAATAGTATCTTCAAAGAGAATCTTGTCAGTATTGATTTAAATGAAGAGCATATTGAAGAGTGAAAGAAACTGGACTCACAGTTGTATGAAACATTCCTTGGTTTTGTAATTGAAACAGTACTGTGGAATAAATACTTTGTTTTTGTTCTGTTCATCACTATCTACACAAGTGGTCCTTCAACATCCATGAATACCTCTAGTAGCACTTCCAAACAGGGATTTTGCAATTTCAAATTAGCTTTTGATTTACCTGATCGGATAATGTTTGTTCTTTTTGAGAGCTGATTTAGCTTCTTGCAGTGAGATGGTTATATACACAGAGATAGAAAAATTCAACACTAGCCACTACGGTTGGTGAAGTTGACAGATTTTGAGGAAACTTCTTTGATTAGAGAAATCTAATTATCTACATTTATTGGTGATTGGAAGCCTATAATGGACTTTTTGTGTAGAAATGAAAAAACAAAACAAAACAGTACGAAGCAGAATAATATGTAACTTAAGACGGTGAGGTTATACTTTCTGTGAAGAATAGTGGAAGCCATTTTTGGGGGCATAATCTATCCATAGAAGCAGACCCCATTTTTGACATTGTAACTACTGATTTCTGGCCTTATTTTTTGAAAATCTCCTGGAATATTTCCAATATTATAACATTTTGTGGCTTTTATAAATCTTCACTTTTACAAGTTTTCACTTTTTAAAATTTTTTTCCTAATTTTTCTGCCTGGATTCTTTAATCCTTTCTGGTGCCGAGTTTCTGAAATCATAAAGCCTCCAATCTCTGTTACGACTTAAAATAAACAATCAATTTGGTTCTTACAAAAAGCTGTTTATTTTATATAATTATTTTCAAAAACATATAGTAAAAAATCTCAATAGTCCAAATTTGTCTGGACCCTTAATTTGTTTATAACTTTCAGGGACCAAAATCTTATTTAATTCTATTATGTTTATTTCCATTCTTTAGATTCTCCTGTATGGAGAATTAGTGGAGGGAAAGCGCCTCAGAGGGAGACCACAGCTGCGATATAAGGATATCTGCAAGAGGGACCTAAAGGCCCTGGGAATGGACATTAACAACTGGGAAACCTTGACCTCCGATCGTTCAGCTTGGAGGCTAAAGACGCAGCATGGCCTTCTCCAATTCGAAGAGACACTTGTTCGGCAGGCTGAGGCAAAGAGGCAGTCCCGGAACCAGTGAAATCTGGGAACTGGGCAGGGGACAGAATGTATCTGCCCTCTGTAGAAGGGATTGCCACTCTCGAATTGGCCTTTTTAGTCACACTAGATGCTGTTTTAGGACCTCTTTCCAGAGCACGATACCATAGTCTCTTGAGACTGAAGGATGCCAATGATGAGATTCTTAAATTTATAGGGTTTTTTTGTTCAAGAATGAAATTAAACTCATCACATGGCTTTTCAAACTTGTCTTTATGAAGATCTCTAATATACTTAATATGGTTAAATAGAGAATTTCAAAAAGTGATTACAAAGGGAGGTTAGCAAACCCAGTGTTCTTTAAAAGGCTGTGCTATATTTGTGAGCAAGGTGGCTGACCCCTTTGCCTCTCAGCAAAGAACAACCAGCACATGGGGGGCTACTTGCAGATTGGTTGGTCTTTACCCCATAGTTGTCCTCTCCACTGTCATGGAGATGTTCTTAGTTCATCATGCTTTCTCTAGAAATGATGTATGAATTACCATTTTGGGGACACATTATGCTAAGACCTAATTTTAAAGATCTAAAGGACCAGGTCAGGTTCTCTTGGAGAAGACCTATCTAGAGTCACTTCATGTGGAAATGGGTGGCATAAAAATTTAATAAATGAATAAAATCTATGTGATTATTAAGAGTTGACAATGACTTGATGGCACAGTCAATCAATCTGACTTCTTTGAGATGTCCATAATGCTGGGAATGATGGGAGAGAAGAGAATGACCAGTAGCAAGAGGGATGGATTCAGTAACGGTAATGGACACATTTGTTTGAAAATCTGAAGGATCAGAATAGGGACAGATTATCATGGACAAAATCTATGTGGTCATTAAAAGTTGACATCAACTTGATGGCACATAATCAAATCACTGGCCAACCTGAATATGTTCTGATAGTCTCAGAAAGTCCTCTGTGTTCCAAGCAGTAGAGAAGTCAGCTTGGCTTAGTTTCAAGAGTTTTGAAGAGCTGTACAAGTGATATGGAAATAATGGACTTCTTTTGACCATTTTAGCATTGGGTAGTTGAAAATAACTAATGATTTATCCATCTTGGCAATTTCCAGTAAGACAGGAATTGGAATGCTCAAAAAAAAAAAAAACTTTCGTTAGGAAGTTTGGAATTGAAGTCATAACTAGAGATTACCATATTGAGAAAAGCAGAATGACCCACCAAATTCCAAAATGGATCTTGTCAGATGGTCTGTTAGAGGCTAGGTATTCTTCTTTTATAGACCTTGATGGCAAAAATGAAGTACATTGAGTTCTCTCCTGGTAAGCCACAATTTGTACTTGCTGCAGTTTATCCCCTTTTTCACCCACATTTGAAAATCCATCATCTTCATGTGCTTGTCAAAAGTTTAATTTTAAAAAAAGATCTGTGCCAAATGCACTGCTGAAATGCATTCACCTTATTATGGGAATCGTTTATTTGAACCCATTTCTGTAAACTTAAGATTTTTGAAGTTCAGATGCACTTCCTTCCATCTTCTTAGAACCACAGGAGAAAAGGAACATTTGTTCAGCTAATGTAAATTTGGAATGAAAATGCACCATCACGTGGGAATTTAGCAGCTCTTTCAGGGATTAGTATAGTGATGGACTAAAAGTACATTGTAGAACAATGTGATTTCCAGTCTATTTCGTTCTGTGACCCAATTATAAATGAGTTACAGTTCAAGTGCTTTGAACCTTCACACTGCCAATAGGAAATAAGCATAAACTTAAATTCCATTAGTCATTCAGAATAACAGAGTTGGAAGGGACCTTGGAGGTCTTCTAGTCCAACCCCCTACTCAGGCAGGAGATCCTATACCATTTCAGACAAATGGTTGTCCAGTCTCTTCTTAAAACCCTCCAATGTTGGAGCACCCATAATTCTGGTGGGAAATTGTTCCACTGATTAATTGTTCTAATTGTCAGGAAATTCCTCCTTTGTTCTAGGTTTCTTCTCTCCTTGATCAGTTTCCATCCATTGCTTCTTGTCCTATCTTCAGGTGCTTTGGAGAATAGGTTGACTCCCTCTTCTCCATGGCAGCCCCTCAAACATTGGAAGACGGATATTGGGCCAACCCCTCATCCTTCTTATCATTAAACTAGATACTAGACATTCTTTGGGGTCCAGCTAATTATGTCTGCTAGAGCTATCTATGGTTGTGAAAGCTGGACCTTAAAAAAGCAAGACAAGAAGAAAATCGATTTGCTTGAGCTGGAGAAGGCTCCCGCATATTCCTTGGACAGCAAAGGTGACTACAAGCAAGTATTGGAGCGCATAACACCAGACATGTGGAAGGCACAAAAAACACAAAACTGACTCTTTGGCCGTGTCATGCCAGGAAATTCACTGGAGAAAGCAATTATGAGTTGGAAGAGTTAGTAGTAAAAAGTAACCAGGCCTCCCAAGAACATGGTGGCTGGACACCATCAAAGCCGACACAAGCCAGAACATTGAAAAACTCAAAAGGAGTAATGCAGGATCAGAAGATGTGGAGAGACCTGGCCCGTTGAGTCGCCATAAAGTCAGACACAACTAAGTGGATAACATCATCAGAGCTAGAATTGGAGTAAGTCAATCCTCCAGGCGAGAACAGAAACAAGGTCAACTTCAATTTATCAGCTCATCTCTTGGAATCTGTTTGGTTCTAAGCCAGCCCTAACAAAATGTAAGCTTCCTCAAATCTATAAACCCCAAATGAAACAAGTTTTGAAAAAAGTAAATGAAATTTGAGGATTGAAATTTATCAATCAAACAAGAGCTGCTGACTGCTTTGCAAACATATACAGCTTGACTTAACGACCATAATTGAGCTTGGAATTACAGTCGTAAGACGTGATTGTTGTAGATCCGCTGCATGACACTGCCTGATTTTATGACCTTTTTTTTTTTTTTTTTTTTGCAGCAATTGTTAAGCAACCATTAAGGCAACCCATTTTCCCTCAAAGGGTGTTTTTGTCTGAAATTGGAAGCAAATGCAGAAATCTGGCCATAAAAAAAAAATGCAAAAAATTGTGGTTGCGTGATTGTGGGATGCTGCAAACTGCCTTAAGCGTGAGCAGGTTGCCAAGTGCCCAAAATATGATCCTATCCGTAGTTCCAAGATGATCTGTTATAATTCTGAGGAGAAGATCGGTTGTAACTTTGAACAGTTGCTAAGCAACTCAATATTAAGGACGGACTGTCTGTAACATTAAAAATGGTAAAGACCCTTCCTATCATATACATCTCCTGGTGACTTCATTGTAGTTTTTTTTTTTTTTTAGCAACAATGCAGAAAAATATTCCAGGAATTTTCTTTGGAATTTAACAAAACTATCCACTCTAGCCTACAATTCTGGTATCCCCTTGTGGTCTCTCATCTTAATACTAATCAAACCCAACCAAGTGTAGCTTTTTGGAGATGGGCTGAAATGGACTTGTGGCTCCCATTTGACTAGGCACAAAATTTCTTACGAGTTGGAAAGAAGGTTGGAATTGTGAGATTTCTTACTAACCATAGTTATTTCTAGTCATGGGTTGCTCAGTGCCTTGATTCTCACTGCTGAGTACAAAGAAGTGACAAATCCAGTTAGCATTTTATTACTCAGTGCAGTGCGTGAACCAGCAAAGTACTACCTAGCAGCTAATCTCCTGCCATGGACAGGGGGTTAGACTAGAAGACCTCCAAGGTACCTTCCAACTCTTGTTACTGTTGCTTTCTAGCCCTACGATTCTATGATTCACCAGTTTCACAATTTCAATTTCTAAAGTGCTAGAACATTTTATCCTTTCTGTGCTTCTTTTTCTATTTTTAGACAAATATTTGCAAAGGGATTGTGGTACAGAGGACTGAAAAGATAGTCTGTAATTATGGTCGGATTTGAAAAAGGCATGTGAACCTCAAAATGAAGTGGCAATATGCCTCCCCACCCACTTCATCTCTCTCTCTCTCAGTCTTGACCCTCATAAAGCAGTGTTTCTTCATCTTGGCAACTTTAAGATATGTGGACTTCAACTTCCAGAATTCCCCGGTCAGCAGAAACCCTGTCAAAATGGCTTTGAAGCTTATGCTTCAGATCCACAATGGACAGGATCCAAGATGCAGACTATGTAGAAGAGGCCTCATAGACAGTCCTGTTAGGAAATGACTATTACCTAACTTGTTGGGTTGGCAATATATAAACCATCAATGTAGCTTTAAGACTGCTGTATTGAATCATATTGGTTAGCTCTGTAGCCAATGTCCTTAAGAGGGAGCTAGAAACATTGTTTTCTTTGCTTTTCTTGCTCTCTGATATCTCTGTATGCTACTGTTTGCAAATCCAGAAGAACTGTTTATTGTGAATGACTACGATGACTGGTAAGAAGACTTTGTTATTGGATTATGCCTGGACTGTCGTTTTGGCTATCTCCTGCTTTAAATGTGTATGACCTGGACTGTTTATTGGACTGTGCCTTACTATTTCCTGAAAGTAAACACAACTCAGTGCATCTGTGTGTTGACTATGTTTATTCGTAACTACCCTCAATCGCTTTCATGTGCACACCCTTGCTACTCAAGGGTTACTCTGCGGATTCCTTAACAAGTCCAATACATAATGTGAGAGAGTAAGATGCAGGCAGAAACAGCGTACGCTGAATGACGCAACCAAGTAGCTGGTGTGGTGTACAGAAACATCTGGATAGACCCTCCTAAGTCCAGAGGGGAGACCCCACAGAAGATTGTAGAGAATAAGAATAAGATCATGTGGTATTTCCAGATCCAGATGGACAGGCAAGTCCTGACCAATCAATCCCACATCATGGTAGCAGACAAGGGCCAGAGGACTGTGGTGGTGCTAGATATTGGGGTGCCAAGCTACAGCGATGTCAGGAAGGAGGCTAGGAGGCTGGCAAGTAGCAGGGTCTGAAGGAGGAACTAGAGAGGACGTGGAAAGTCAAGGCCAAAGTGGTCCCAGTGATGGTAGGAGAACTCGTAGCTATAACAACTAAACTGGCAGAGGGACTCCCACTGATCCCAGGAGTGACGTCATAGCTCTCTATCCAGAGGAAGGCAGAGCTAGGAACAGTTGAGATCCTGTCCTCAACCCTCAAAAAGCCCAGGCCTCTGGTAGAGGACCCGTTAATCAGGCTAGAATAAAGCTGGAAGGGGTCTTAGAGGTCTTCTAGTCCAACCCCCTGTTCAAGCAGGAGGCCCTATACCATTTCAGACAGGTGGCTGTCCAGTTTCTTCTTAAAGACCTCCAATGGTGAAGCACCCACAACTTCTGAAGGCAAAAGTCGTTCCACTGGTTAATTGTTCTCACTGTGAGGAAGTTTCTCCTTAATTCCAGGTTCCTTCTCTTCTTGAGCAAGGCAGACGCCGCTGTAAGGGTTAAAAATAAAATAAAATAAAATACGAGCTTTTTGGAACATAATGGAGTGGTGTTTAAGAAAGGACATTGCTCAAAGAAGAAGACTAGGATCACAGCAGAGTTACCTTTGTTTTCCTTGTTTAATTCTCACACGCTTCTTTTTGCCAAGTTCCAGTTCTTTGGATGTTGAATACCAAGCTGCAGCTGTTCTGTTTTAACACCATGGTCCCCGAGACCCACCTCTAATCCATCTGCAAAACGTTTATTGATTCTCCAATAAGCTTGACACAATGAAAAATTATTTTCTTTGCTGCCGAAAGCCCTTGATCATGGAAATGGAAAGAAACCATTGGAGCTTCCTGGAGACACTTTGCTTTTAAAGCGCTGACAAAACCGAAGCATCGGAGCTGGGGGTTCAGGTTTGAGAACACACAAAAGCCCTGTCTGGGATGGACAAACTAACACAAGAAATATTTTCCTGTGTAACACAACACAGGTAATCCCCGATTTACAACCACAATTGAGACCAGACCTTCTGTTGTTAAAATGTGGCAATGGTTAAGCGAGTCATTAAGCTTGATTTTGCAACTGTTATTGCCATGGTTGTTGAGCAAATCATTGCAGTTGTGAACTGAAACATGCGGTCATTAAGTGAATATAGCTTCCCCCCCCCCCAATGGTTGGATACTGCAACCATTGTAAAATACATGCTGGTTGCCATGTGCCCAAATTTTGATGAAAAAGTGATTTTCATTACTGTTGTAACTTCAATGACTAAATGAATGGTTGTTAAATCGAGGACTCCTGCACCAGAGACAAATTCTTTGTGTGTCTAACCACACTTGGACAAATAAAGCTCTTCTCTTCTCTTCTCTTCTCTTCTCTTCTCTTCTCTTCTCTTCTCTTCTCTTCTCTTCTCTTCTCTTCTCTTCTCTCCCCTCCCCTCTCTCCTCCCCCTCCCCTCCCTTCCCTCCTCTCCTTTCCTCTCCTCTCCTCCCCCCTCCCCTCTCTTCCCTTCCCTTCTCTTCTCTTCTCTCCTCTTCTCCCCTCCCCTCCGCTCTCCTCTCCTCCCTCCTTCCCTCTCCCCTCCCCTCCCTTCCCTTCCTTTCCCTTCCCTTCCTTCTCTCCTCCCCTCCCCTCCCTTCTCTTCCCTTCCCTTCCCTTCTCTCTTCTCTTCTCCCCTTCCCTCTCTTCCCTCCTCCCCCTCCCCTCCCCTCCCTTCCCTTCCCTTCCTTTTCCTTCCCTTCCCTTCCCCTCCCTTCTCCTCTCCTCCTCTCCTCTCCCCGCCCTTCCCTTCTCTTCAATTCTCTTCTTGTCCAGTTTCTGTATTGTTGCAGACATTCTGAAGTGTAGTAACACCTTGAAGGCACAAACAAGAATTGAGAATCTCTTTGCAAGCAATTTATGGGAGATTCTCACAGCCTAGATGACTGGTCTATTCAAAGAAGGTGTGTTATTTGTTTCCTGCTGGAGTGCTCTTTATGATTGAAGGGGTGACGATTGCCCTGGAGCCCATACATTGGGGGGGATCAAAATAGAGGAATAATTGGCACGCACCATCCTCAGAAAACTTGTCTGTAACACAGATTGATTATTACTTAGCTGTTATGTTTAGTTATTTTGAAGAAAATAAACTCTGCACTATAGAAAGAGCGCAGAGAAGAGCAACAAAGATGATTAGGGGACTGGATGCTAAAACATATAAAGAACAGTTGTTGGAATTGGATATGCCTAGTTTCATGAAAAGAAGGACTAATCTATTATTCTGTTGTACAGAAGAGTGGATTTTATATACTCCTGCACTGACTAGTTGTCACAGTTTATGGTTCATTGCAGGGATATCTATGAGGGTGCAAGTACAGTGTGCATAGTCTCCTTCGCAGGGCTAAGAAGAATAAACTAAGTAAGTTTGGGGAGGAAGAATTAATTGTTTTCTCCAATTCTGGCTGTGACGAATTATTCCCAGAAGTTATGATCTAGAAAACAAAACCTGATGGGCCATCTCATCTTCTGGTCCTATTTTGGTCTGGAGAACAATTATTGGCTCCATGCCCTGTGCTTACTGCCCTTCCCTTAGGAAGCATAATTGGGTTACACGGATCAATAAAGTATCCTTTATGAATACTCCTTTGGTATTCATCCAGCCAACAATCTCCCTGCCTTTGGTTTGACTGAGAACTATAGACTGAGTGCTATAGTTGATGATTGATTGCCTGACTTTGCCTAGTATGTGTATGTATATATTCCTTGTAGATAAACCACTAGTTGAAAGACAAACCTCTGTTTACTGTATTTTGCTCCTGGGTTGTCTCAAAAATAAGTCACACTGTGCACACTCTGACAGGTTGGAAACATGCGGAAGAGGCCTTCACCTGCAGTGGATAGACAATGGCTAGAATGATGATGATGATGATGAAGAAGAAGAAGATAATGATGATGATATGGTTTATTAATATTTGTTGGTTTGATTTTTCTTCCCTTTTTTGTACACCACCCAGAATCACATTATCTCAATTGGGCAGCTATGTAAGGAAAGAAATAAACCAGTACTACTTGATTGTAAATTAAATGTAATACTACTAATACACTCATGTCTATTGTACATTTCCAGATTTTCCTGGCAGAACTCCACCCATTACTGTGAGAAGGTGGGACATTTTTGTTTTAAAAAAGAAAGAAGAAGTGAAAATCCCTCAGAAACTTTCAAAAATGAGTAGAAACAAACACTTGGCTTTTCACTGGATTAGGCCATGTTTGTGCAGCTACTTCATTCAAAGGCTAGGCCCAAAGAGGCAAAACAAGGCTGAATTTGTGCATGAATTTACATATTCCTAATGTTTAACCCAAGTACAGATGGAGGGCTGCACGTTTTTTTTTTATTATTCTTATAAAGGAGAATATTTGTAGCTCAGGGCTGAAATGAGGGA